TGTAAGGGACGTCGTAACAAATTCTGAAATAGTATATTTAGACCATCATTCTGAGTCGAAAATCATTGGAATTTTCTGGAGAGTGCGTTAAGCCGTCGGACCCGGTTGCCATCCAAACATCTTTTTCAATCGTTACGGATAGTTGGAGCCCTAAAAAAGTCGGATAACAGTCTTTCTACAGAACTTCGGTATCGCCTACATGGGTTGTAAAGGTCTCATGCCACTTGCATGCCACTACCTAGTTTGGGAAAAAGGCTCGAAGGAATTTATTTAAAAGAAACTTTCTTATTTAAAATGCTTACCAAATAAGTGATATAAGCGCTAAGATTTATCTGAATGATATTGTATATAACGACAATTAGTTTCAAGTTGTACGGCTCCCTCTTTCTCATAAATTTTGGACCAGCTTTTATAGAAAAATATAGATATAATGGCACTATACTTAGTAGTGGTCCATGGCCTGATACAAGCCACCAGTTTTTTGTTCTGCGATCTGAAACAGAGTAATATGATGGACTGTGATGGATAGCTATGGAACCATCATTTTAGTACATTTTAGTGAATTTCTATCAGCTGTACCCATAGTACAAGCTCTGCTTGGTTAGGAACTAGATAGCGTTGTGTGAATATGATAGAATATTACTATATTATTTTTAGTTTAGTTCCAAATACGAATGAATAATCTGTTTCACAATCTTATATTATTATTTATTGTTAATATTTCATCTGACTGTGTGATCATACAGTACTCTACTCTTCTCTCTTCTCTTGCCCGCTTTACAAAGAAAACATGACTGATCTATAGTTAATATAATTTTTCACGTGTACTTTCTGTGCATACTCATGTTTAAGCAAATAAACTTATCTTATGACATCTTCCGATAAAATTAGTACACAATTATCAAGACCTAAATTAAAAATTGCTTATATCTACAGTTTTCAGATAATTACAGTATCACTATCCAATAAAACAAGACCGGGATGGTGGCGCTCCACAAGGGAGGCCTTCATTCGGCAGTGGACGACAATAGACTGATGTTTTTTAATAAAGGGTTTTTATAAGTATTAGATAAACCTACACAGATAAACCATAAATTATAGTTTAAAAAACTTTTGTAACTAGCCAAATTGAAAAGTAGAAAATAATTTTGTATAAGTAAAAGTCGTAATCTTCACTAAACAGAATTTCTATTGATTTTATTGTATCGTATACAAAGTGTCAAAACCTAGTAGGAGAATATTTGGGTAAGGTTAATTACGCAGACACAAAAAACATCTTAGCAATTTCAAAATGACATAATTTTAACTATCAATAGGTTACTAAACAATAAGTAATATATAATTGTGTATACAAACCTGTCTCAAATAATTTACATTATTAATCCATTAGAACTTCAATATATGAACGTCCTGTATCTAACATCATAGTCAAGCGACTGCCTGGAACACAGATCCTACACCTAGCTCAGGGCGTTTGCAAAAGAATTTGTGATATTTTGATTTTACCTTTTTCTTTTTCTATTCACTCTTGCACATTTTAGAAGAGTCATATACTAGTTTTATGTTAGCTTTAGTAATAAGCTTCTCGAAACAGGACATCTCGAAAAAGAAAGGCATAATCGAATATCCCCGCAAATATTTATCTCGATAACGAACACACAAATACCTGGACTTTAAACGAAATTCAAACGCAACTATTTAAACTCTTTTACGAGTATGTTCTTACATTTAAACCTTTTTAATATATTTTTTAAATATAATTGTGGGATTGAAATAAACATTATTATTATTAACTGTAAGATAAAAAGATTTTACATCGAACTCTATGCACCTATATTATGAAAAAGAAATTATAAGCTTTATTTGTCGTCCCTTAATTCTCCATTTTGAGAACAATTTAAATTTCACTGTATCTAATATTTTTCGTATTATCGTCAAATTTAAATAAGGCAATCGAGGATACACACACTTATTTAAAAAAAAACGGTGCAATAATAGGGAGGATTTTTATCACTTATTAAATATCTTCAGAAATTATTCTTTCTAATATCATAATTAAATTAGGACACTAATAACATTCCATTTAATTGCTTACCTGATAAGTCTTCGAATAAAAAATGATAGCTTTGCATAACGGTTTGGACGAAGGCCATTTTTTTAAGAGAAAAAAAATACTAAATCGTAGACTATTCTACCGTCAAACAATACTTATTACAATAAAATAAACTGAGCTAAAATTATGTTTCAATATTGTCGTAACTTAAGCGTTATCGTGCAAACTTCAAGCCACTGTGCATTGTTTTAAATTGTTACAACATAAAATGAAGGCACCACAATTGCCTTAACGGGCCTAGTGGGCTAGTGGTTACAAACCGGACTGTTAAGTTTGAGGTCTTGGGTTTGATTTCCACTTAGGAGAAATAGTTGGGTGATAATCACGATTTTTTGTTTTATGTTTGGTGTAATTTAATTTTATCTATGTAATGTATGTATTTAGACAGATTTAAGTATGTTTATCAGCAGTGTGGTTACCATAGCTCTGCCTAGTTTGGTATCAGACTGCCTTGTCAGATGTGTGACGTTATTATTTTTATAATTTCCCTGCCATTTTCTCAAATTTTTTGGGATCAGCGCAATTTGTAACATTTAAAAGGGCTTTAGTTCATTTCTGTAATGACCGTTTGCCTGCCTGATATGGTACATTTGGGAATGCAATCGCTTTCAGACGTAACGAAGGAAAAAAGATCAATTTGAGTTAGGAAAACTGATAGGGCGAGGTTATCTCCGAGGATACCGCAAGTCTCGAATAAGAAACGGGACTAAGACTGCAGTAAGATGTTAAGAGGTTGCAGGCTTAAGAGGCTGCGGTCTAAGAGACCTGGGTCTAAGAGGCCAGTGTCTAAGAGGCCGGGGTCTCATATTTGTATGTCTGTCTTGAGATTATTTTTTATTATTATTTATTTATTTATTATAGACACGCCAACAGTATACATATACAACATTGTTCAGTATACATATACCATTCAGTTCAAAGTAAGGATAGTTTTTATATGTAGACCAATTGCAGGCATGCACAGTATACATCGTTAGGTTGACACACATTCAAGTAGTAACAAAATTAAGACCAAAGTGAGCGAGACTAACAGAAATATAGTACTTAGAAACTAAACACAGATAAGTCCAAACAATGAAAGTGGCAGTCATGCAAACGAGCTTACTTAAGAACCCTTAATATTTTGTGCCCATGGTGCTGCCCTAATTAATAGGGTAATGTCTATTCTTACTACATTTTGTCTCCCGCTTTGCTAACCAGGGAATGGATTTATTGTTTCTCCAACTCTTTCAATTTACTTCTGATTAATGTGGTTATGGGTACCATAACAGTTTAAATTTTCCTGGGGCTGCCCGAGTGTGTGAGTGACTTGATATGTTCGTGGCTCACTGCTGTTGATATTGGTGTACAGAAGTTACAGAAGTGGGCGTATGGGATGGATTGGTGCCATTAAAAAATACGGATATAAACTTGCCATTTTTTTTCTATCAGTATGTTTGTTAAGAAAAAACCTAGTAATATAATCTATTTTATTTACTAGTATAAATAAAATAGATTACATTACTAGGTTTTTTGTCAAGCTAATCATAGTACATTTATTTACTGAATGTGTAGTCGGTCATACATTTATGTACGGGAGTTATTTGATTGTTTCCGTCATTATAAAGCTATTAAGACAATGTTCCATAAAAGTGTTTAAATAGTTGATGTTCATCTTGATTAGGTGTAGTATTAAGCAGTTAAATCATAATATATATTTGATAAACAAGTTGATTTTAAGTGATTTAAAATTGATCATTATAAGTACTATTTTGATTGACATGTGCACGAGACTTTTAGCTTTTATTTCTGATATAAGAGACACACGAGTTACCTGATGGAAAGTACCTACAGAACGCCCATGAACGCAGGCAAAAGCTGCAAATATTAATGTTACAAGGTGATCTTAAGAACATGTAGCTGTTAAGAATTACTTAACAAAATAATAACACCTATAATTATAACATTTATTTACAAAAAATATCTTGTAAGGTACACGATATGCACAAGAAGCACTCAACCCTTTTTCAATGTCACATGAAACAACACAAAACATAAGTAACATTATGGTTTCACTTATTGCAAGCAGTCACCTTAATGTCGAAACATAAGTTGGTGGCTAGATCTAATGTTAAGTAAAAATTTCAAGAATGGACAGATAAAGCAGAATATAAATAAATATTTAGTTTTATTCGGTAGTATTAATTCGAATAAGTTTTTTAGATCAAGAAAAAATGTAAAAGTTGTCACATGAGGACAAAGTTTTTTGGCTTAGTGTGATAAAAGTAAAATTTGATTAAAAGCTATGTCATTATTATTTTCTTAATACAAAATCAAGTCTACTAAACAAGAACTGAAGAAAATTGAATGATAGACGAAGAAGAAAAAGTTACTTAATCGTTAGTTTTTGCCTATCGATACATATAATTGGAAAAAAAAACCATCGAATTTGAAACTGAGACAGCTTATTGTGTCCTTAAGATCTAATTTCTACTAATTACAGAATTAAGAATGCTCAAGAATACTTCAGGCATAGCGCATACATATATTTTGATGATATACTCGTACAAAATTTTACAATACATTTTAAAATTGTAAAAATATTTAATAAAATCACATTCAATTTTTAGGGTTTCATGAAAGAAACGATAACAAAATAATGAAGTAAGTTAGAGAAATAATATACAATTCAATATTAAATATGTATTTATTCCACACAAGTGTTTATTTACTTACTAACTTAGTTTAACTTTGTTCATAACTTTGATTAAAGTTTCAATAAATATTATCAATAACAATAAATATAATAAATATTATCATTGCTATTGGCAAAACGATCCGTTCAGTTGTTTAAAAAAAACACCATCACTTAATATTTAACAATTCCTTAAAAAGGTCTATTTTCTTTTTAAAGATCTTTTTTGGTGGATTTTTTTTCCTTATTGTTAGCAGCAATGTAGTTTTCGTAGAAGAACATGCCAAACAATACAAAGAATAAAATGCAATTTATTAATACTATGACGGAGAGATACTTTGGGTAGTTGCAAGACTGCGATAAGAAGCTGTTCACGTTCAAGAAGGCTACTATGCAGAACTGGACCTAAAAATAAAAACATTTTTTTAATAAATAGAATTGCTAGTCTTCTTATCATGTTATTTGAAACTATCGAATAACACTTTATCAAAAACAAATACAGTTGTCATTAAAAATAAACTTTGGTAAGAAAGTTTAATTTTGTACTTTCGTCCGGCTTGAGTCGATTTTTATTGCCGACTGGTTAAGAATTTTAATTGCAACATAATATATTGATATATGCACAACGCTTTCTGTGTGTGTATATTAGGCTCCTAAAAAAACTAATTAAATGCCGAAAATGCAGACAGATTGTTCTAATGATACCTTTGATGACGGGTCAGAAAAAATTAATCCCAACAATGTAACGCTTTATTAGCATTATTTACTCCCAACAAAACCAAAAACTAATCTTTAAGCTGCTGGACCATATAATAAACATGTGTACAAGTAATATTAAAACTTTTCTTGAATTACTTTTCTATAGCACGCAATACTTTATTGCAGTAAATTTTATTGAGACATATCATAGGATAGATTGTCTAATTCATCATGATCCCATTTTGGTAGTTCTTGGCAATTTGTAAAGTAGTATTAAACTTTGGTTACAACTGTGGCCTTACCAATTGCATGCTGGTGAGGTACTTCTTCCACCACAAGTACTTCTGGTACTGCGGTCCGAGTCCGGAGATCAGGTAATACGTGTACATTATGACATGGATAAAAGCATTGATTGAACCCTCAGGAATTGCTTGTCCACCTGAAATATAATAAGTTCTAATTTAATAAAACAAAATAATACAACGTCAAAAATTATCACCTCAACTAACCGGCCGGTGTTGGGTTTGCGCTGTTATCTTATTTATATAATAAGGTCAATGAAACGTGCAATTTATTATGAGTACATGTATTTACTAGACTCGTTTATTTATTATCAACTGGCTTTGCCCTGCCACGCTACGCTGCAGCACATTGTGGTTGCAAAAAATACACGTACGTACATACACAAACCAACTTAACATTTTTATATTAACATAGATCAGTTGATAGGTTAAGAATTTTGTCTAAACAAAACGAAAAGACGGGACACCTTATATTACCTAAGTGGCTACCGCTCCGCCACCTTTTTTCATTATGAAAAGACAACTCCCGCATTTAGGAATACATCCTGTGTCGCGGGGAATAATGAAACATGAAACGGACACAAAGAACACCACAGGGGTGGCAACAAATTATCCAATGGATATTTTAGTGTAAACTTATAATAAACTTAAAAAATAGGTTCCTAATTCGTTTGTACTTTTTGTGTTTGTTACCTTACCTCGCCTCAAAACTCCGTTATTTATAAACTGATTTAAAAAAGCTTTTTTTCTTTTTTTATTTACTTCCCGTTTGGTCCTACTAACATACGAAGAAAATAAACCATTGCTAAGGGTAGAAAATTGAGAATGTGTTCCTTCATTATCATCATCAGCCTATCGCAGTCCACTGCTGGATATAGGCCTCTCCTATTGCACGCCACTTCTCATCTGGCGTGTGGGCGTCCTGCACTACGTTTACCGAGACGCGTTATCCACTCAAGAACTTATTTGCCCCAACGGTTGTCGGTTCTTCGGTTATATATTCCTTTATTCAGTTTATTACAATTCACTATTTAAGTGAGGTTACCAGAGCCAAAACCTCCCTTCCCCTTCCACTGATTCTTTGGGGGGTACTCAAAAGATGGAAACGCACTAGTGACTCTTGAGCGGCATGTGTATGCGCCATTCGTGGCGGTAAGTACTGATCATAACATATTATGGCATGATCATCAGCTGATGATAGAACTTAAACTCAAATTCAAAACATCTTTATTAGATAAAAAAAAAAAAAAATTGAAATCGTCTTTTATGTAGACTCTAAAGTCATAGATCAACACACACAATTGTAACAATCACTATTTTGTCAAATAGTAAGCAAAGTAAATTTAATAAAAATTAAATCAAAATCTATGATAATATGCCTGTGCCGATTCCAAGGGGTTGAGAATTGGAACAAAATTCGAGAATCACGATGCAGATATATCGAAGCCGATGATAATTTTGAAATGATAATAGTTATTAACTTTCCATTAAAAACCGAGTGACCTTAACTTTCACAGATGTTAAATATATGTATAACTGACTGATAAGATCTATTTAATATAAATCTGTGTACAAATCACAAAAAAGGTAGTTATATATAAGGTTACGAGTATATCCAAGGTTATTCAAAAGTATTATTAAGGTTATTAAGGTTATTAATAAACAGTTTTTTTTTAATTCAAATTCTGTATCATAATAAAGTAATTATTTAATTTAAAAAATAAAAAACCCGACTGCAAAAAGATAATTTAAAAATATTACACTAAAAAGAAAAAGTAGACCAAAATCCTTTCTATGTCCAGCAGTGGACTATTATAGGCTGTCGATGTGACACTAAAAAGACCAAAACAGCACGGAACGGTGGAACACAAACAACTGATCTTACGCTATAAAAAACTTTATTAAACCGAATTTTAATGTACAACTAATTTTTTCTTTCATTTTCTTGAATTTACCCTATCCTACTCGGATAGGTTGGTTAAGTCAGCCTGTGACCACGGCCGGTGCAACCTGGTCGAAACGTCAGGCAAACCAGAGATCGTATGGAAGCAAGCGTGCGGAGCGGACGTGTTTCTACTGGCTGCGGCTGGCGCTGACCACTCTTGTTAGACAGAGACAGCACCGCGGGATCTGCAAGGTACCCAAATACATATACTTATACAATAGCATCTACTGTGATTTTCAACATGAGTGTGCGACGAACACCACCGAAGTCTTCTGGTACGTGTTCGGATAGCAATAAAGATTTATTGCCGACAGCAAGTGATAATAGTAAGTCCGACAGAGTTGGCGGATCTTTCCCCGACCTGAGGACATTTGACCAGTTCAATCTCGATCCTGAAGCAAAACATCAAGTAACGCTTCGCCAGAAAAGAAAGCAGCCAGATGATGACCTTGCGTCTAAATTTGACACCTTTGAGTCTACCATGAAATCACTTTTGATGGATATGGCCAAAACCCAAAATGATAAATTGACCAAAATATCACAAGATGTTTCTTCCATTAAGGACCAGATAAAACAGATTATGGTTACGTCTGATCATCTATTATTGGAGCAGGAAAAAATCAAATCAGAGTTAGCAAATTTTTCAGACTTCAAGGCCAGAATTGAACATAAGGTGGTATCACTAGAGAAAGAAATTATATCATTTAAATCTGATACGGTCAATTTGGCTTATCCCTTGACCTATGAAGATGTCATAGCTGAAACTCGTGAGCGAGCGCAACGAGAGAGAAACCTAATCATACATGGTATCGACGAAATTAAATCAAGCAGCTCCGAGGAGAGACTCAATCATGATATAACTGAAATCAAGAAAATAACGAAAATGGCTGTACCAACGTGTGAAGATCCAATTAAAACTATTCGTCTAGGTAAATATAATCCAGGACAATCCAGACCTATTAAGGCCATCTTCAAGTCTGCAGAGATGGCTAAGTCTATCTTGCGTAACAAGGCTAAGATAAAACCAGAAACAATAAAAATCTTCTCTGACGAGACTAGTGCTCAACAAAGATATCGACAAAACCTTAGGCGTGAGCTCAAGAGACGTCAAGATGAAGGTGAGATGGATATAACGATAAAGTATTCCAATGGAGTACCAAAAATTTCGAAAATTACACAACCGCATGCAAAAAACTACTCGGCATCGACATCAAAACAGCAAATCTGAAAGGCAACAACATTACATACCAACTATCTAAATCTCATTCCGATATTATGTATAACAAAAAATCTCTAAAATGTCTTTATGCAAATGTGCGTAGCATAGTATGCCCAGGCAAATTAGACGAATTGAAATGTATAATACAATCGATACCCAAAGTATTACATATCATCGTTCTTACAGAGACCTGGATCAAGTCTAACTATGAAGCCGAAAGTCTATCTATATCAAATTACGTACACTATTACAACTTTAGAAGCACTGGCAGAGGCGGAGGAGTATCTATATATGTCCACTGCACGCTAAAGCACAACTTTATAGAAGATCTTTGCAAAAATGATAATCATTACATGTGGATCCATCTTAACAGATTCTCAATCGACATAGGTGTCATTTACAAACCTGAAAGAACAAACAACACTGAATTTCTGAATACCTTTTCCGAACAGCTGCTTAATCATCGTAGAGCCATAGTATTTGGAGATTTTAATTATAATTTATTAAATCACGCTCAACCAACTATAAAATATAAACAAATGCTACACGAAACCGGTTTTTTATTGCTAAATAAAGTAGATGCAGAATATTGTACTCGTGAAACTCCCAACACCAAAACTATACTTGACCACGTCGGCACCAATTTAAAAAACAACAACTTTCACCTAGCTGTGGTTGAATCAGCGATGTCAGATCATAAGCATCTATATCTGGAAATTGACAAATACTGCCCAGAAAAGAGGAACAAGATTACATACCTAAGCGTTGACTATGATAAACTATTTATGTTGGTGAAACAATTGGCCGCCGACAGTAATCAAATGAGTTACGATGAACTAGAGATGAAACTGGCTGATAGTATCAAGTATTCCAAAGTAACTAAAACCAAAGTACAGAATCCACCTAAGTCCGAATGGATAACTAAGGAAATAATTGATTGCATTGACAAAAGAAACCAGCTATGGTCCGCATACTTACGTGAATCATCCAAAGAAAATATCTGTGAGGACCTGATGGTAGTACGAAAAGAAGTTCGAGACAAAATTCAGAAAGCTAAAAGTGCATATTACCATAAAGCTTTCAAAGGTTGTATACAAAAGCCTATCAAAATGTGGAACCTAATCCATTCATTGTGTGCTAACAAAACAAAAACCAGCAATCCCCCAACGCAACTAGAGACACAGTCAGGCACTATTACCGAACTAAAAGACATATGTGATTGTTTTAATTCTTTTTTTGCTAATATAGGGTCTATCTTAGCTAGTCAAATCCCCCTGAAGTATCACGATAGCGTAGCATACAGTAGGCTATATGACAAAAAAGACTTAAGCGGTAACGAGCTAACTGTATTTCAACCAGCAACTAAAGAGGAAATAAACAAAATTATTAACAACCTTAACTCTAATACTAGTACTGGAGTAGACGGCATATCATGTAAAGCATTAAAATGTGTTAAGGATCTAATACTAGATAAACTAACTTTAGCTGTTAACATGTGCCTAGACAGTGGTTATTTCCCGGACACATTAAAAAAGGCAAAAGTTACCCCTATTTACAAATCCGGCAACAAAAAAGACCCCAGTAACTATCGCCCGATTTCTGTACTTCCGGTTATCTCCAAAGTTTATGAAAAAGTCATACATAGACGGTTAGATCAATATCTGTCTACCGTTAATTTTATCAATAAAAATCAATATGGATTTCGATCTAAATCAAATACTTTGTCGGCTTGTGTTGACCTGGTAACAAACATAAAAGATAATATAGACAAAAAACAAATAGGGTTGGGTGTCTTTGTAGATTTGAAGAAAGCATTCGATACAATCTGTCACGAGTTGTTAATAAAAAAATTGTCCAGTGCCGGAATAAGAGGAACAGCATTAAATATGATAAGGTCATATCTCTCAAACCGAAGTCAGGTCGTTAGAATTGGCAATACCTCAAGTAGACCCGAACCTATTACGTACGGGGTACCGCAGGGTTCGATTCTTGGACCTCTCCTTTTCCTCGTCTACATTAATAACATTAACGACCTGAATCTATCAGGAGATGTGACATTGTATGCTGATGATACTAGTATCTTCTACTTTGGTAATGACATCCAACTAATTGCAAAACGAGCACAAGAGGATTTAAACATATTAAATACATGGTTTCACTATAACCGACTAACTATTAATGTAATTAAAACAAAATACATTATCTTCACTTCAAAAAACAAAATCATACCACAATTCCAACCACTAAACATAAATGGTGAAGCCCTTACAAAAGTAAAGTCTGAAAAATATCTGGGCCTCGTACTTGACAGTCACCTCACTTGGAAATCACATATAAATGTAATACAATCTAAGCTGTCCAGTTTAATAGGCATACTCAGGGGCACAGCGCGATGTTTTCCTAAATCCGTGAGTTACATAATATATAATTCATTAATAAAATCTCACCTATCCTATTTAATCGAACTCTGGGGATCAGCTGCTAAGACTAACCTAAGAGATTTACAAATCACTCAAAATAAAGTCGTAAAACTACTATTTCATATGAATTATTTAACTAAAACAAGAGATGTTTACAGTAATACCAAAATAATGTCAATCAATCAACTATACAAATATAATACATGCATTCTTATAAGAAAAATAATTAGGAAAACTATTCATACACAAATAACATTTACCAAAAAGTCACAAGTACAGCACCGTATGTTGCGAAACGCTAATAATATATGTCTCCCTATACCGCGAACCAACTACGGCTTAAGAAATATTAAATACGAAGGTGCCCAACTTTACAATAAACTACCGAACGACTTAAAAGAAATCCAATCAATGGCTTTATTCAAAAAGAAGCTCAAATATTATGTCCTGCAAAGTAACACGTAAGTAAACGAGCACACATAGTAGAAGAGACAAAAAATTAATTATAAAAAAGTAATAAAAAAAAAAAAAAAGAAAGGTGCCTTGTATTTCTATGAATACTCAATTTAAAAAAAAAAATAGGAATTTAGATGAATTCACTAATAAAAAATAATTAAAAAAAAGAACTAATAAATAAACCACTATAAAAAAAAAAAAAAAAAAAAAAAAAAAATGAAAAATACTTTTAATATTTAACAAACAGTAGGCTACATATTAATGGTATAAAGCTAATTTAAAAACGAAAAAAAAAAAATACATGATAACAGTCACTCGATAGAAGTACGATAGCAATCGCCATACAATACGTAATACGGCCATAACATACTTGTTTACAACTTGCAATATTGCAAACTTGGTAATCTCGGCAGGCGTGGGTCCGGCTGGTTTTGTTTTGTGATAGCTACCCTCTTTATTTATTAATTAATAGTTTTGTACTACATATTTATTTACTTAGATGTAAAAACAATAATATGTAATTTAAGCACCGCTCCGGCACTTGTTACTTACTTTTTTTTATCTTGTATTTTCTCTGACAAACGAATGTAAATATTCTTTTGAGGAAATAAATGTCTTAAACCATAAAAAAAATCTATTAACATATTACTATTTTTTGCCAAAACTCCGTCATTTTCGGAATCCGGACACTTGGCTTTTGAGATGGAAAAAACAAAACCCTTCCTTGTCAATCGGATAAAAAATAACACACACTTAGAATACTATACTATCAGTATTATCAATTAATCGTAACATAAACTGGCTTGACCGAGTTGCTACACGGCGTCACAGAAAAGCAGTACTAAGCAATTCTTCAGTAGCATTTCACCGAGTGAGTAAGATTACTGAGGGCACAAATCTTTGGGAGGGGGGAAGGGAGGTAATCAAACTGGGGGACTCTTAAGTTGCAGATGACTATGGGCGTAGTAATTTACTATCAGGCGCCCTGCCTGCTCGTTTGTCTGTCAATGTTTTGGGATAGACCAAACGCGTAACGTTTCAAATAGTTTTGGCTGGTTTCATTTATTGCCAGCCGCATGCCCGACACCAATCCTCCTTGGGAATATAATAATTTTCAAAAGAGAAACAGAAAAAAGATGGGTGGTTATTCGTTCTTTTTTCTTAAGTTTTCTGCATTACCCATCTCCTGCAGAAATTATAATCACAAATGGTAATTGTTCTGAAATACTCAATTATTTAAATCAAACACATGAATGACAAGAATATAAATAAACTTGAAACAAACCCTATACCAACCCGTCTGGCCAGCGTGGTATAGTAGGCCAAAACCTCCTTTCTAAGGAGAGGCCTATGTCTATGACTAGTAAAGGCTGTTGATGATGATTATGATGATTAAAACAAAATAATGACAGTAATGACGCAGAAGTAAAGCGAAGGTGAAGAATCACCCAGGTAAAAAATTGGTGTAAGGAAAATTTATGGGTATTTTATTATATTTATCTCTGGTACTTGGTCCTAAACCAAGTACCAGAGATATGGAATAACGCCAGCCTCGGTTGGAAAAAGAGACTTAAGACTGCAGTAGCTCGAATAAACCTAGGTCGAATGAGTCTGGGGCCTACTCTATGAGCTTAAAGACGCGTATCAGGCATTGGAGTTTCTATTATGGATGAAATTCGTAATGTGGGCAGCCACCAAATAATTAAAGGCACCAACATAGCTCGCAGAATTAGCGTTCTGAAATTGCAATAGGCACATCCAGAAGAATCGATCGCTGGATCAAACGTATCTTAGAGTCGGTAAATGAAAAAGATCGAAGACGTGGACCGACGACCTGAGAGAGATAAATGGGGTAAATTGAATGCGGCAGGTGGAAGACCGAGTGCGCAATTCATCTTATGAACGAGGACTATGTTCGGCAGTGGAGTGCGATTTGCTGTTTCGATTGATTGATTGCGTAATCGTTGTGTATGTTCTGTGATTGGAGAGGCCACTGGGATAGAGGGACTTGGGAATAAATATGAGCATTTGAGAGAAGAAATAGTGACCAACCTGCGGAGTATTTAATTCCAATAAATCCTATAATCGGCATTATTGTGTGATGATATAAATGAAGAAAGGATATTTGTCTATCTTTTTTGCGTAGAACGAAGAATACGGTGTCGAGAAGTTCTGTGATTTTCCCGAAGTAAAACCACCAAACTCCTGATGCCCACTGAAAACAAGAAAGTACATTATTGTTAAATTGTTCTTTTTTTATTACATTTTCTATTTTTTTGTTTACACTCCCCAATCTGTTCATATAATATTAAATTTTTCTCATTGATATCCCTTCTTAGTTACCTTTCTATTACAAAGTACACCCAAGGTTTTTAGCTTAAATTGAAATTATAATTATTTAATTGTTTTAATTGAAATGAAAGGAGGAGGCTAATAAAAAATTAAATTCTAATTTCATGTTATGTTTTGTACTAAGTACGGTTCATGCTTGACTTGTCGCTGATTGCCGGTGATTGACTTTGCAGTCATAAGCCGTTTATAAAGTTTAATAAGAGTGTGAGTGCTTGATGTCTATGACTAACACTACGCACTGTCTACAACGCAAGCTGATTTAGACACCTTAATTTAAATATTTTGAAGACCATCTTCACATGTAATTAAACCAAATAGAGTTTATATAGATACCGACTAGTGTAAATTTTAGTTTGAAAATTAAATTATAAATAAAATAAGAAGAAAAATTCCCAATTACGTGCCTGGGACCAGACTATACATAATTGGCAGTAAATATACTACTACCTTACTATAGTATGCGGACCAGACGGGTTAGATACCATAGGGTTTGTTTCAAGTTTTCCTTCTCTCGCAGTGTTATTTTCTCCTTACATAATTTGCTCCCTTACTCGTCTCTTACGACATCCACAGGATGAATACGGGTGATGACACTCCGTATTCTTAATCTATCACCACACGGAAAACTACCTACAGATTGCCTAACTAACTTCATAATAGTAGGTATAGTATATGAGATCCATAAATTCTCAGAACTGTAAAGGAATTAAATCTTGACTCAGAATCAACGACAAAAAATTATACTAATTATCCTGTCCATTTTGTCATTACAAAAAGTGTAAATGATAGAAAAATCATTTCGCTAACATTAACACGAGTGCGTTTAAATTTTTATAACCATAAAAAATACATCTTTCTGTTAATAATAGCTATATTTATTTTAACTTTCCTTCAAAAGCCCTCAACTCTATTCCTGAATAATATTTAATAAGAATTTTATGGATCCATATTAACTTCTTATTTTACAATGATACTTGACATTGAAAAATCAATTTTAAAAAACTAACCCTGAAATGACTTTTTTTCATTGTTAAATATATATATTTATATATAAGATCTATTAGATATATTTATATATAAGATAAGATCTTCAAAATAAACCATAAATTGTTTCTCTGAAAATACAATAGATACGCGAAATTCAAATTTATGAAATGTCATTCATTTCATTACATATATATATATATACACATTTTACATATATATAATATACACGTTTAAGCAAATTAGCAAATAAGGTTAGATTACATTCTTTTTTCAAGCATCTAAGTTATGTAAATAAACATAATAGGGATCAAGCAATCAGCTATTTATTAGACATATCGAATGATACTGGTTCTTCAGAATCCTTTATAATTGACGTCAAAGCCAACTTACTTGTGTTATTCAATGAGTTAACCTTTAGCATACATAAACATTTAAGTTGGTAGATGTCATAAGCAATCTTGAAGTCATATTTTTATGTGGTGACAACGGATAATTCTTATTTTACGTTAGAATTGATAGATAATGAAATAAATGAGTAGGTATGCATAAAAGGGAGCGGAAAGAATCTTCTTTGAGTGTCAAAAATTAGTTTCTATATATCTTAGTTCTGCCTAGTTCAGGCAGGCAGCGACTAAAGTTTTTAACAAAATCTTAATATCTTTATGTGTAGAAAATCATACAATATGAATCATACTACACAGTCATAAGAATAAAATAACACTACTATAAATTTACGCTAGTGTAATTTAGTCTAATTATTGTTTAAGATCTATGTTAAACTGAAATGTCCTACACTGTAATATTTATATTGGTCAAATAAAATTATTTTTATTATTGTTTATGTTGGACATTTTGCCTCTTATTTTACCACAAGATCAAAAAACTCGGTATAATTTTTAAACATATCAAGGAAAAATCTATTCAAAAGAACATTTATTAATGTAAATTCCTATACTCTATTGAAAAATAAGATTGTTATTAATATTTGAATAAGTAATAATCGTGTATTATCATGTATTATCAGGTAATATCTTAAGTAAACTTGTTAACCTCGCTATTCCATGTACCTACAATCAATGCAAATAAAATATAGTCTATTCTAAGATCAATCAATTTTTATGACACTGATCTCAGTCCCATAAAATTGATTGTAAATTATAATTTATCTTAGAATAGACTCGACTATTTTACATTGCCATCCAGGACATAGAACTGGGTGACTAGGAAGATCATTTCTTCTAAGTTAGGGTGTAATTCATTTATCATATGATATTTATAAGTATATAAGTCGTATGTTTATCAGCAGTTTGGTTACCAAAACGGCCGAGAGTAAGGTGTATTAAGTTATTATTATTATCTCGTCACCTTTTTACCCCCTTTGAAGGGGGAGGGAACGGATTTCATGACCAGCGGACTCCAGCCAAGCGTGTCATGTATTTGCATTATTATTATAAATGCCATATTTATACTGAAGTAGTGTTTAATACGGAAGACACGTGAGACAACACCTTGACCTAGAACTGGGCATTTTGTCATATGAGTGATAAGAAATAGTAGCGATAAATTATTGTTTCAAATAATAAACACATGTAAATTGTATTGCATTCGATATAATGCTTCTGTGACACTCGGTGCAGTTTTGAAATATTTGAGAACTTAGACGAGAATAATTGAGCACTTAGTTTCTAGGAACAGCATATTTAGTTTACAGGTATGGTAAAATTTTCTATATTGTTTACACTCCTTGTTCTATTCGTATAATAATTAATAATTCTTTCATTTGATATCCCTTCCTAGATACCTTTGTTTATTTATTTATTTTATTAAGGACAACCAACAAGGCTGACACTAATTTACATGTTAAGGTTACCCGTATTTTTATATTTTATAGTGTAGTCTTAATTAAAGGCTGCCTCGGCATGAATTAAACATAAAAGTAGGAAATGCAGTTACAAAACTGATTAAGCTTATCCAGTAACATTAATACATAAATGCGGTACATGTTATAAAAGAATGATAAAAAAATAACATTCAACATACAAATATTTACAAAAACTTATTGATGCTATGGTTCGCGTTGTGGTTTTCGGAAGAGTAACAGCATAAATAATATTATCATATCCACAACTAATAACAAAAGAAAATGAAAAATATATCTAAATCTATGTGAAAAAGACAACAGATACTCCAATATTCCTTTTTCACTCTTGGGATAATGCCCTATGAAAGACCGACCTGACTTTCTGTAAAGAGTAAGACATATCAATATCTACAGTAGGTGAGCGTGATAGGCGACTAAATTAAACCTCTATTCTATTAATGGTGGAGAAATGACCCAGGTTGGTTCTAAAGCCCTTAGCGCAAAGCAACCGATATCTAGCCATACGAGTATTTCAAAATGCACCCAATTTTTATAGCTTACATTTCCAATTGTCAACAGGATTATTCCTAATGGAACCAGGCTATATATCATAGGCAATATTTTAGTGATTAATATAATACATGTATACCCCTAAAAGAGTGAGGCTACGTAAATATCCTATAATCTATACATATACATAAACAACATTACTCGTCACTGAGTGACTGAATAGTCAACGTGGATCCTAAACCTCTGGGACTACAAACTTGTAATTTTGGTAGCTTTTTATATTGTAAGTAGTCTGGGAAGGGTTTTTGGAAATTTCTACCCGTAAGGTGTTAAAATAAGGGATTACAGGGAAGTTCGACAATTTAAAAGTTAGAATCACGAAATAATAATTAATTAAGCAAGCGAAGCCGCCTTTAGTGCATGACAAAATTATGTATTTATTTTTGCTAATTTTCATCTTTTAATTACCATTGTAGTAATGTAAGTATTTAAAATATGCGTTCCGTAGGTGAAAGTCCACACCGACTGAAACTAAAATTTTTCTACGTAGTACCTACGTTACTTGTATAAATTATGTGAAGAATATTTATTTATGCGTATTTTTCCCATTTCCATAATATTTCAAAAATTCTTCCAACGTACCTAACGTTGGATGTTTTTTTTAACTCAATCTGAAATCAAACAGGGCCCTGTTCTCAATCTGTGACCAGTGACCTGTTTACACTAAAACGTTACAACCAGATAATTTTGTAAATAAGTGACATATTTAAAGTTTTTATGACAAGAGCTGTATAATAAACTTTACCATTATGTCAGAATTTTTCAAGTAAAAACATTATAATTGTTACATAAATGCTGTTTAAAAATTAAATGTGCTAAAAGCTCCTGTAGATTTCGATGACAATATTGTATCTACATCATAAAATGTAAGTCTTTGTTGAAGATTCTTTAATTGAGGGTAGATTTCAAAAATCTTTAGAATTTGGTTAAAATATGATGCATCAAAAGAAAAAAACGAAAAACTCGCCGTTGCCGTTCACCCATGCATTCATCATTACTACTGTCACTACTTCCACTTCTATTTGTTAGAACCGTTAAATTAAACGTTTAATGTATAGCAATTAAATTTCTTGACTTGTTACATTAAGGTACAAATAGTTAAGTTCTGACACAAATTGAGCCCACCTGTCGAAATTGTTTTACAATTTACAAAATATGTATGTTTGTATTTACAATTATGGGTTCCATAAAAGTTTTCCTTAGAAATTGTATGTTTATTAGGAGTCCGTTACTGGCTGTGCGTCCGACGGCCGTGTGTGAGATGTGTCAAATTGTTATTATTTATTAATGGTAAATACAAATTTAATGAATACATCAACAGCCTTAATTTGTCCACTGCTGGACCTAAGCCTCCCCTTAGAAAAGAGGTTTTGGCCTACTATACCAAGCTGGCCAGACGGGTTGGTATAGTTTGTTTCAAGTTTTCCTTGTAAATTATTAATTAT